AGTTACAATGGCACTGAAAAAAAGGGACATGATGATTTTTCACACTTACAACAGTTGGTATATCCCAGTGGTGGGTTTCAATTTTTTTTAGAACCTCTTCTGTAGGTGTGGCCTGCTTTGTGGGAGTGGCTTGCTGGCCACGTGACTGGGTGGGAGTGGCTTGCCAGCCATGTGACTGTGTGGGCGTGGCCATCTTGTAAAATGTGCTGAAACTCACTTAACAACGTTCTTGCTTAGCAACCAAAATGTTGGCTCAGAAACTCTGGCATTTGAAGCATGCAAGTCTTAAAGCTGTCAAGTTACAAGACCCTTGCACCCCTAACCCTTTAGAAAAAAAAACTTGACAGCTTTAAGACTTGTGGACTTCAACTCCCAGAATTCCTGCTCTTGCTCTTCATCTTGATGATGTGCGGATGGGTGGGGAGGGGGAGGGAGCTGGAACTGGTTCAAAACGGCAGTGTAGATTTGTGGAACCTCTTCTATAGAAGAGGTTAGAACTGGCAGGAACCCACCCCGGTATAACCCCATAATCACATGATCAAAATTCAGATGCTTGGCACCACGGCTCATTACAGGTGGTGCAGTGGCGAGAATGCAGTTCTGCAGGCTACTTCTGCTGATTGCCAGCTGCCAGCAGTTCGATTTTCCTCTGCTCAAGGTTGACTCAGCCTTCCATCCTTCCGAAGTCAGATAAAATAAGGACCCAGATTGTTGGGGGCAATATGCTTACTCTAAAAACCACTTAGAGAGGGCTATAAAGCACTGTGAAATGGTACAGAAGTACTATTGCTATTGCTACTAAATTAACAACTGTAATGATTCACTTAACAACTGTGGCAAGGAAGGTTATAAAATGGGGCAAGACTCACTTAACAAATGTCTCACTTAGCAACATAAATTTTGGGGTCAATTGTGGTCATAGTTTGCGGACTACCTGTATTGTACAAAGTGCATGCATGAGATTCTCTTCCACAAGTTACTATAGAGGTCTTCAAGTCAGCTTGTAAAATGTTTTAGTGAAATTGGTGGAAAATAAGCAGTTTAACTTTAACTTAACTTTAACTTTTAATAAATTTATATGCCGCCCAATCCCGTAGGACTCTGGGCGGCTAAGTTTAATGATGAAGAATTTATGTATTCTCATTTCAAATTCATGCCCGTATAGCTCTTGGCACCTATTGTTTGGGTACATGAACAAGAACAATGCTATTTCAAAGGCCTTTGTTGAAAACTTTTCAATGGCATAAATTTGGTCACTTTGAGAAGAGGACATTAGACCCACTCAGACTTTATGTTCTAAAGTTCTTTTTAAGTTTCCTCAGTTATCAAATCACTAATATGAAGTCACTCTTTTGTTCTATGTTCTGTTTTTACTAGAAGGTAAAGCAGTGAGATGCTTCCTGCTGCCCTCTCTAGTCCCTCAGGATATTGATATTCACTTATTAGTATCCAGCTTTTTCCAGAGGTTTTGAATATATTTATAAATCCAGCACCAGTGGAGCCTAACTAAAGCCAGAGGACCTTCTTGAAGATAATAATTCCACAGGGCAGCTTGCTTTTTATTTATTTACTAGCATAGCCCAGGTATATATTTATCCCAATCTTGTATTAGAGGGAGCCCCCTTGTGGAGTACTGCGAAGCCGTTACCATGGTAACTCCACTGTACAGTAGGAGCCATTTTAAGGCACAACAGGCTATATCTTAACAGAACTTGAATCCAAAATGCACACTACCACTGTCAAAAGTACTGTGACTTGACACTATAGATATAATTCATTTATGTTGCAGGGCAGATTTTGCATAGAAAACCAAGGAGTCTACAAAATACCATGCAAAATCTGCCCTACATCATAAATGAATTATATCTATAGTGTCAAGTCACAGTACTTTTGACAGTGGTAGTGTGCATTTTGGATTCAAGTTCTGTGAAGATATAGCCTGTTGTGCCTTAAAATGGCATCTGCTGTACAGCACAGTGCAGTTGCCATGGTAACAGCTTCACAGTATTCCATAAGGGGGCTCCCTCTGGTAAGGGGTATTGGTTGTAAATAAATACCCAGTAAACGCCGGGTTATCACATAATATTAAATAGATTTGAAAATCCCTTGGAATTCATAAAATAGATT